CAATGTTGTGTAATTAACAAGGATAATCTGGTGTTTTTAGTCGATGAGTAGTGCAGATATCACTGTAAAATCAATCGACAGTAAGGGGAATACTTACTTCCGGGTGTACAATTCTCCGTTATCCAATGAGAATGGACGCTCACATTGCCTTTAAGGGCAGCCGACACAAACGAATGCCGTGCTTCCATGAGCGTCCATAGAAGCATATGGACATCCCGGAAAGCTGAAAAATGGACGCTAAGGGCCCCCCCTTTGCGTTGAAAATGGACGCTAAGGCCCCCCCCTTGCGTTGGAAAAAGCCGACAGGGGACTTGACATAACGTCAACATAGGCCGATCTGGGAGTGAGGATGTGTTGCCTAGTGCATCACAAATTGGCTTTATTTGCTTTTGTTCAATTATGATCTCCTTTGAGGAGACTAGGTTGATCAAATTAAGGACATTGAGCTGGGACTTGAAGAAGATCATGCTAAATGTAAGTCTCTGTGTGTAACAACATATTTTGTGACGGACTGCAAACTGCTCTTGATTTTCTCCCACTCATCCTTTGTTTTTGCTGCAGCTTTGACATGGGGGAGTGGTCAGAGTGCAGCAGGAGGTGTGGGCCTGGCACTCAGCACCGCCAGGTCATCTGTCTCCAGGTCACTCATGTTCACGCCAATGGGACGGAGACATCGGTTACAGTGGCACAGGAGCTGTGTGGGACGTCTGATAGGCCGGTGACCAAGTCTACATGCCAGCTGAAGATTTGCAGCCAGTGGGAGATTACGATCTGAGTGGAGCTCGGTGAGAACAATACCTATGTAACAATAACAATACATATTTCATATTATAATATGATTTGTACATTATATCTGAATCTGCACAGTAACATACAAATGTAATGGTGAAGAGCAATAAAGTACACTTCTGGAAATATAGTGGAGTACAGACTAGTTATAAAGTTGTTTTAAAATGGTAATACTGAGTAAGAATATTCAAAATTCAGTGCAGATATGGCAATGAAAAACTTACGTCACAGGCTCCTCCAACAGTGCAACATGAATATATATATATATAGGAAATGGAACAATAAAAACAGATAAGAAGTCCTTCCAAACTGAATGGACTAAATTCTTTGGTCCTAGGGAATTCTAAAATGTCTATACCCCCAAAAAAGCTAAACAATATGTGAGCTAGTGGCATGTCTACAGTCATTAAACAGGCATTTAAAAAGACACGCTATTTAGCATTCTGATAATGAAACATCTACCCCTTTCTCTCTTCCACCTTCTGTCCCCCAGTGTTCAGTGCCATGTGGAGTGGGCCAGCGCAGCAGGGAGGTGGTGTGCGTGAGCAACCAGGGTGAGGTGGAGGAGGATGAAGAGTGCAACATGAACCTAAGACCAGACACTCTGCAGAACTGTGACATGGGAGTCTGTGCACGCAGCTGGTTCACCTCCCTCTGGAGCCAACGGGTAACAGAAACAAGTTAGATAGTGTAATATACTCCATTCGTGTGTGTGTCTGTGTGTGTGTGTGTGTGTGTGTGTGTGTGTGTGTGTGTGTGTGTGTGTGTGGTGTGTGTGTGTGTGTGTGTGTGTGTGTGTGTGTGTGTGTGTGTGTGTGTGTGTGTGGGAGGAGGAGGATGGGACACAACAGGGAATAAGGGAAAGAAGGTAAGAACTAAGTTACTTCAATTAAAAGTTTATGTGAGTGGAATGTTTTTTCAGTGTTCAACAGAGTGTGGACAAGGCAATCAAACACGGACCACTGTGTGTCTGATGGATCATGTGACTGATCTGCCATTGGACAGCTGCGAGGGGGAACGCCCAGCAGAATTGAAATCATGTGACTCAGGCCCCTGCAAGAACAGCCTGGAGTGGTACACCGGACCCTGGGGTCAGGTAATTGACATGAACACAGACACATACAGCTGAAAACATAACACATTTGAACCTTTACCTTTTGTGTTGAACTTTTGCTCTTGTTTGTGTGTGTGTGTGTGTGTGTGTGTGTGTGTGTGTGTGTGTGTGTGGTGTGTGTGTGTGTGTTGTGTTTGTGTGTGTGGTGTGTGTGTGTGTGTGTGTGTGTGTGTGTGATGTGAAGTGTTCTGCAGAGTGCGGGAATGGCACACAGTCCCGGAGTGTGGCTTGTATTTTCAACGACGATGGTCGTATGGAGGTTGTGGACCAGTTCAAATGTTCCAGTCTCACTCAGCCAATCACAGCTCAGCCCTGCAGACTGAAGCCATGCGGTGTCCAGTGGTACGTCACAGAGTGGAGCGTGGTAAGTGTCTCAAAGTCTTCCCTTCTTCCACTATGCAAGACATGCCCCTCATGTGGTATCAGTCAGAGCCATAGTCAATAGTTGGGACACTTGGTTGTGTCAATTAAACATTAAATGTTCAAACAACATTTGTGATCAGATACAATCACCATCAAGTCCTTTAAGTATTATTCAAAAGGTCTTGACCTTAACAGTTTCAGAGGGTATATATATTTTTATAAAGTCTTTATAGTGTTCAAAACTGTCTGTTTATTATCTAGAGTCACAAGGACAGACAGTACGCTGATGGGATTTATGAATGTCATCTTTAAAGGGGACATACTGTATCACCAGAAACTCACTTTTTCAGTACTGGTGCATGTACTGTAAATGTTGGTATCTGTAGTGCCTACCAACCCATAAACATAAAAATAGTAAATTCCATAGGTTTTTTGTGAGCTGCCTTATTGAAAACACAAGGGATTCAACAAGCCATTCAGATGTGGCTTCCTTCTTTTGTCACATTCAGTTTAATAAGAACCAATTTTGCAATTTTTCTCAAATATATTTGCATGGCCAGATACCACAACTTCTTTAGAATTAGTTCAAAAGGTGATGGATTTAGTTGTGACGACTAAGTGGTGTCCATATTTAGGACTCCAATAAAATGATGTATACTGTACTGTATGTACGACTCTTCCTCTCTGTCTTGACTCTCTTTCTAACACCTCAGTGTTCACGCTCCTGCAACACGGGCTACCGTGTGCGTGACGTGCACTGTCTTGCCGACAACATTTCCCCAAGCGACCGCTGTGACCCGACTTTGACCCCAGAAAGCCGAGAATGAGTGCAACAAACATCCCTGTGTAGCTGAGATAAGTGAGTCTGTCAGCCAGTGTATGTACTACCCTCCTGTGCCCACTGTCAGTGCAGCTGGGTCAGAGTGCACAGGGTCAGAGAGGACCTGTTTGGAGTGAGATTTCTCTGTGATGCTGTCAATGTTGATAATGTTACCATGAAGATGTTCATATGGAGGAAGAATTGAGCGGTTGAAAAAAAACATGGCGATAAAAAAGGGTTTAGAATTACTTTGACTCCACTTTGAGGGCTTAGGAACTGCCTTGAGACTCGTATTGTAGAGCAGGGGTGTCCAAACTACGACCTGGGGGCCAAATGCGGCCCGCGGACCATTTTGAATCGGCCCTCAGCTAATTCAAAAGTATAATGAAATATGGCCCACAAATGAAACTTGTACTTGTCTTATATTGTACTTCTTAACTATACATGTACAAATATATTACACAGTAGTATTCATGTGTTAATAAGACCACTTTTCAAATAAATTCAGTCAATTCAAGTTGGAAACATTTTCTAACATATCTTAGTTGATAAGAAAAAAGCCCAATGACTTGTTTACATAACAAGCTTGAAATACACCCTTCCAATTTGTCCTTATTATAATTAATCTGAGGCTTCTGCTTTAAGGGATCCAGCCACCACTCACCAGCATAATATACCTACATTTGATTGATTTTGCTAACTTATACCTTAACTTATGAGGCGATATACCTCTAGTTAGTGGCCCAGCCCTTCGTATATTTTCCTGTACGTGGCCGTCGGTGAAAAAGGTTTGGACACCCCTGTTGTAGAGGATACAACTGAATGGAAGAAGGACATTTGCACTAACTTGTGCCTCCTTCCCTTTAACAGATCCATCCTGCAGCGACCAGTATCATAACTGTGTGGTGGTGGTCCAGGCTCGTCTCTGTGTGTACCCTTACTACAGAAGTGTCTGCTGCGCCTCCTGCTCCCGTTCCAACAAAACATACCCCAACTCATTTCAGAGGAACCACATCCGCAGATGATGCTGCGACTGAGTCTGTTTCATCATCACACCAAACCACATGAAGAATAATATCAATTTACAGACACACACACACAAAATGTAGTTTTAGAGTGTTTTCATTCTCAGTGTAACTTTGAACTGGTAAAATATAAGAACTTGTATATTTATTCTTAAAAAAGGGTGTTTTTTTACTTAGCTGTTGTTTGTTATGATGATGAAACTTGATGGAAGGATGAAGCATGAGCCATGGAAGATCCCATCACATGATGGAGATGATCTGAATCACAAACCACATTTTTCAAATGTGTTTACTTTGCGAGAAGTGGCATTCTAATCATTCATATTGGCTTTTTAAATATCCTTTTTGTTATGTTTCCTGTATAAGTGATGGGGGACAAAATCCTCAATTTCCAGAAAAACAGTTGGATAGAATTAAAATTTAAAAAACGATGACATCTGACGCAAAAATTAAACTTGCTGGACTAAAAGAAGCTTTTGAATATTTCTATTCTAAGACAAGCAATGTCAAATTTTACACCGAGTACAAAAGTCCTGTTTTTAATGAGATATGTAAGGAAACAATGCAGTGAAATAACTACATTTATATACTTTAAACTATATAAATGTTTACTTTTTATATACAAAAACGTAATTTATTAAGCAACTAGTAATTTATGGCCAGAAAACATCGTATAGAGTAAAATGTACTTCCTAAACCTATATCTATAGGCCTAAAGCTGGCTGCTTTTATAATTGGGGTGAGGAAAACTGAGAAATGCTTTTTTAAAACAGGCAACATTGAATGGAAAGTGAAGATTTTATGGGGAAATATTCACTGAAAGCATGGTGTATTTTATGTATGCACAACTCTATCCAGTGGGAAATAGATCACATAAACCTTGTACTCATTCAAGATAGTAATACCGTTGCTTTAATGGGACAGCCGGGCTGACATGTAAAAGGCCATAATTCACGAGAACTTAAAGCACATAAGAAAACATTAAATGAACACCGATGACAAACGCATGTGGCATTCTGTTTCTCATACAACTAATTATTGTAGCATTGGGGCCAGTCTTTTACACACACAATCTCCCATTTTGTATCTTCAAATCTTTAGTAATGTTCCCGAGGTGCTCCAGTCTTTGTGTCCGTGGATGCAAGGCTGCATTGGTAGGTCCATGCTTGTTTGCACTTGTTGCTGTGTGATAGGAAAGATTGTTTAGGGTGAGCCTGGGCCTTTGGTATTGAGGGATGCAGGGTCCACATTCACCAACAATATCACCGTCTGTCTGACTTAATTGCTCGGACTCCATTATCCAGAAAACATTCAAGGCTCGCTTTCCATGCTGATAAACCTTTACCCTTTATAAATATATTTTTGTACTCATAGACACCAGGCTGGACTTCTGTGAACAAAAATGGCAGCTGCTTGTATTTTTTTTGCTCTTTTTGTTGTCTTGGTAGCTCTCTTTTGTCTTGTCCTTGGCATTGGGTACCAGACGAAAAAGAAGTTAATTGTTATTGAGTTTAACAATAAGAAACATACTTGTTAGCTTCCCCTGACCCCCCCCCCCCCTCTATTTCCTAGAATTGAACAATCACCATTTATACAAGTCAGTTCTGAAAATACAATGGCAAGTGAAACTTTCCACCAAAATCTCATTGTGAAAACAAAAAATATATATTTCACTCCCCATCTGATTTGTTCAGCTTATCAAATGCTTTAACTACTCTGTTTTCTTTGTAGCCTCGTACCAACATTCACTGATTTCAATATTGTAGAAGTTTTACAAAGACATAAATATAGTAGGATACAATACAGTAAAAAATACAAAATAAAGTTGATATACTTTTTTTTCTTAAATGATAATTTACCAGAGGCAAACCCCAAAATGGAACTTTGACACTAGGCAAAAACACTAGAATTACCCCCTGAGGTCAAATGATAAGAGAATAGCCATGTCTCAAACCAGAGCTTAGTCCCAGGTTACTCACTACTCTCCCGTTATTCACAAGTAGTGCACTATGTACAGGACTATAGGCAAAATGTGGGTGTCCTGTCTGGAACATAGTCAACGTGTACTATTCAAGTGCAACTCGTTTGGGTGGTTATTACTATACTAGCGAGACATTAAGCCAAGGAAACTTGAAGGCACAATTATCTGAGGCAGAATATGCCCCGAGAATTAAAAACAACAGTTGTGGTATTAACGGAGTAAGATTTAAAAAGGGAAAGAACAAAAGGGGAAATTAAAGTTTACAGTTTCAGATATGGTTTCGATCTGAGAATGACGAGGCAGTGAATCAAGTTAAGGCCAAATTACTTAAGAGACCGTCCAATCAGAACGCTCCAACAGTAAAGATGATGTAAGACCTGATAAATCCCACAGATTGGCAATAGATATCATTTTTGATAACAGAACTCTTTTCTGTATTTTGTCATAGCCTGGCTCGCTACATAGATATTTCTTCTGATGGTTAAGTCAATTTGTATTAAACAAGGCTTTTTTTGCTCTTCTTTTAGAGGTTGTTATTATGCACAATAATGTATAAATGTATGTTACAAGAATATACATGGGCTTCAGTCTATAATATCTCAGTAAGGAGTACATCCAAGCATTCAGGGTGAGGACTTTGGCTTTGAAAAGTTAGTCTACATTTGCACAAATATGAAACACAAGTAGAAAATGCACCATAGAAAAAAAAGGACATGAAAAAAAAAAGAAAAACCGGAAACGGACAAAATGGCTCACACACTGATCTACTGTCGCTTACGACCATTTGCTCACACAAGCATTTCCTCTGTCAACACAGAGTTGTTCAGGGTTGAAAAGGATGAAATAAAATAAAAAAAGGAACAAGACTGGGGTTTGGAGGGCTTCAAGGGAAAGATTTCAAGTTGTCATTCACTCATGTGCAAGTCAAATATAAAAAAAATGCTACAACTCGTACAACTCTCTTGTCAACAAGACAGGTTCAGGGCAGGCCAAGGTCCCCTCGCAGTTTGCTAAATAAAAGGGGCTCGGAAATTGGCAGGACAGCTTGCTTCATCGGTGACGCAATGCACGGTCCTCACTCCCTGCATGTTATATCTCCAGCTCTCCACCTCCCCCGTCATCAATTCATGCGAAGGAAAAGAGCAACTGTGGGAGTCTGAGTCTTTACATCGAGAGCCGAAACTAAAAATCCATCATCAGTCTTTTTTTAATTTTCTCGCTCTTCTCCTCTGGATCTTCATTCTTTCGTTCTATGATTTCGGCTTATGTTGGCTATCCCACTCGTTTTATTCTACGTGTGTCCCTCACTCGCTGTCAGTCCTCTAGGTCTGAGTCGGACCACTGCACTGGGCTCAGTTTCCATTGCCGCTGGGCATACTCGATGACTGCTGCTGTAGCAGAAGTAGTACTGGTCCCAGGTCTGGATGCTGAAAGCCCTCTGTGTGCGCATCCGTCGCACCGTCTGACGGATGTCCACCGAGCCGATGTCCTCCAGCCGGGACAGGCAGATGTCCAGTGTACAGAACGTGCCTGTCAGGGAGGGGAGATGGATAAAGAGACGATGAAAAGGTGAACAAAAACAAGTTACCAATTGCATACACATACTTGGCACGTTATAAAAAAGACAGAAAACCTAAAAACCATCTCTGTACAAAAAATGTACTGAGAGATGGTATTGAATTTTAGCAAAGATAAAATCATTTTTTTCACAAATGTAACACTTCTGGATCCCATTTTAGATGCTAAAGTACAAATACTTTGATATTTTCAAACTTTAGCTGTTTTGGTAAATGAAACAAATGTTTTTTAAACTAGACGTTTACAAAGAAAGTGTCCAGTATACTGAGGACTTATGTAGTAGTTAGAATTGAAAAATATCTTTGAAAACTCGTCTTACTAAATTGTTTTGTTTTACAGTTACACCAACACTGTAGGCCAACATAAAGCCACACATTACTCAAAAGGAACAATGTCTCAGCATAAACATATGGGTTTCATTGTTATCCTTGTTTGATGTTGCAAATGGAGCTGCTGTGATGCAAGAAAAATGTCAGACTTGATCTGACAATAAAGTATGACCGTATCGTAGATCAATTAAAGTGTACAAAAAAAAGTATGAAGAAGTATATTTATAATACTAGAAGTTCTGGTCTATGATTATAAAGATAAGACAATTCTGTTTCTAATCCCGGTTTGGAAAACTCAAGTGTCAAAGCAGCAACAGCAACGAGAGTGAAACACAGGATAGTGTTCACATCAAGCGCTTTACCTGTGCGGCCAATGCCGGCACTGCAGTGCACAACCACAGGGGGGCCCCCTGGAGGGCCCGTCCAGCTGGAGCCCAGGCTCTGGACCGCAGCCTCTCTCCTCCTCAGGACATGCTCACGGAAGTCCAACATGGCTGTAGCACATTTGGGGACCCCAAAGTCTGGCCAGCTGACATAGAGGTAGTGGCACACCTCCCGTCGCTCCCCAGACTGAAGAAAAGCCATAAAGGACCACAGAGAAAGACAGAAATATATCAGACAAATAGCATGTACAAGCCTGTAGGCCAGTATCCATGTCAAGTATGATTGTGAAATAAAATGAAACTGTAATATATACAATTTTTTTTAGGAGATTGCACTGACAGGAATTCCACGAACTAAATGCAGCTGTGTCATATCGAGTTATCTTTGATTAGATCTTTATATACATGTGAGGCTATGTAAGGACATTGTTTCCAATTAACATAATTAAGAGTCGATCTACTACAAGTACAAATGCTGTCAGCATGACGTACCTGTGTGTTGTAAAGTTCAAGATGAGAGAGTTTGAAGTCCTGAAACACCTGGACGTGTGTGCTCCTGACCAGGAAGTATCCGTGCTGCTCAGTCCTTCCATCCTCCCAGTAGGCCAGTACTGACACACTTAACACGCCCGCGCTCCACACCCTGAGACACAGTTACACATCTCTTTAGCTCATCATCAGCCCATCAGGATATACTGTTACTAGGACTACCAATTTGTATACAAAGTAAGGATGTAAGGAAGTAGGGAAATAGGGGAGTTTCACGATAGTATGTCTGTGATACTGTATCCATTTTTTATTAATAGTTTTCATGCAAAGGAACTCAGTTGTTGACTTTGTGGTTGATGTGATATATCTTGTTGCTTAGATATGGCAATATATTGAATAGTCACCCCTGTAGCATGAGCGTTTAGGGCATCGTATCCCCTGCTTTTTGACAATAAACAGCCCTAATAGCACACAGCTTTAGGCAAATCCTTTACACCACAATTTACTTCCAAACTAAGATGTAAAATAATTCTCACCTGGTGGTCATGACAATGATAGTACCATCTGTTCCCAGACATGCGCCAGAAGTCACCAAACGTTTTGGCAAAGGACCTGAAGGACACAAAATCTGTCAGGTCAGTGGTCCCCACTGAGGTCTGCGGGAGGACTGAGTTGCGTTGGAGCAAAACAAAAAGTGTAAATGGCCAGAGTAAGTGCTCACCGCTGAGTTGCGATGTAGGCGTTGGCCCTCTTGTACCCATCCATGAAACTGGCATTTATGTAGTCTGGTGTCTGAAAAAACACAGCAGAAACAGTGGTGAGGACTCCCTGCTGTGAGAATCTACGTGCCTCCTGTAGGAGCACATTTCATCTTTGGTTTATTTTAGGCCAGATAATTGCAGTTAATGGTTTAAACGGGTAGACTGGAGTCACATAAAAAAGTTATTATAATGACTATGAAACAGATTACGTTGCCAATACCAACATTTGTTCCAAAGCCATACCACCGATTTTTATTTGCGTTTTTTTACAACCAATTTAACTTCATAGTTTTGGTCATTATAACCATATATTCCGAAGGCCAAGGTGGCAAACAACGAGGCATATCAGCCTTCCAATCACACATAAAACATATGAAGACATCAAAAGAAATTGATCAAACTTTTGGTTCAATTTTTTGTATTTTTTAAAGCAAAGAGAGAGAGAGTTGAAAGTTAGTGAATAAATGATTACCTCATCTTCGTCATCACAGAGCTCGCAGAGTCGCACCCGTGACTGGTCCAGGCAGAGAACATCGCTGTACCTGTTCTTTATCTGATTTGCCAGTTTTCTGTTAAGGCAGAATACAATGTGAGGAATTAAATATTAAAATGTTATCTTTTATCTATTTTCCCATTGGTTGAGAGAGACAGAAGCACACAGAATAAAGACAAATGAGCCCAATGGATAAAATATTCTTATCTCTTACTTGGAGTAGTCAAAGGTGCCTGCTGGGGGCTCCTTTCGTATCTCCTCGTACTCCTGATAAATTCCCCTTCTTCTTCTTCCTCTTCACGTGTTCCACCAGATCGGGCACATTCATGCCTCCCTGCTCCGGCATGTGGACAGACATACTCCATGCAGCTGTCCTCCTCATCAGGACCCCACGATGAAGACAGAGGCAGGGGACTGGGAGGGAGGGCTGGTGGGGGGGGTCGAGGCAATGATTTCTGGGGCAAAGGGGCACGCCTTCCTCGTCCTCCCCATCCTCCCCATCATCCTCCTCCCCTTCCTCCCCATTCAATCATCCTCTTCCTCTTCCTCCTCCTCTTCCTCCTCCTCCTCTTCCTCCTCCTCCTCCTTAACATCGTTGTTCTGAGAGCTTTGGGCAGGGTCTGCTACCTGTCCATCCACTTCATCCCCATCATCTTTATGGGAAAGCGGTGTGTCGGGGGGCGTATCTGATTGGGGAGGGGCTTGGCGGCCACGACCATTAATGTTGGCGTTGGGGCTCGAGCCGCTGACCGCCATGTTGTCCCCGCTCACTGCGGAGCCGTTCCAGTGTTGGTGGTTCCCCTGCCGCCTGTTTGCAGCAGACTGAGGGCTCTGCTGGTTCTGCCCCTGGCCTTGAGTCCTGCCCTCCACCACTCCGCAGTGGTTGTGTGGGTTAGCATTAGTATCGTCGTAGCAGTTAGAGTTAGCCACGGCTAGCTCGGAACCTAGCTGTGTGTTTATGTGGGTGTGGGGACAGAGTAGCGCCTGCGCTTGTGTTGCTGCACTCTAAGCTGTAGGAGCGCAGCAGGCCTCCCCACACAGTCGTGGGAGTCCTGTTCTTGGTGTGTCACGCCTGATCTGCGTTGTGTGTGCGTTAACGCAGGACTGGATCCAAGCCACGTGGCTATACTGGGAACGTCCCACCCAGGTGTTCAGGGAGGGAGAGAGACGGGGATGTGACCGGCCAACTCATGAGCTTTCACTGTGCACACCTGGAGGATGGAGAAAGACCAAAACATTTAAAATGAACATCCAAACAACATATTCAATATGTTATACTGTGAGTCAAACTGAAAAAAGGTGCCATTACGTACCCTTTCTCTCAGCTTCTCGCGCACAAATAAGCGGAGGACTGCAAAAGGTGCGCGGAACCAAAGAGGTGATGATACAATGAAGACACACTTCAGACGAGCTGGAATGCCCCCTAATACAGAGGAGAGACAAAATGATGAAAGGTGTTTGACACAAGCACTTGAAGGCAGGCAGATTCGAGAACAACAGAGGGTGCTTCTTATAATTACCTTGAGCAAATTGAGGATTTTGACACAGAGCTCATAGTCAAAGTTGCCATAGCTGGAGTTGGTCATGTCGTAAATAAATATGAGGCCGTCTTTTTGAGTTTGTAAACTGGGAAGCAATGAACAAGATTTCCAGTTAAAACAGTGGAAGATGGTCAAAGAAGCTTTGCTATAAAAAATAAATATGATTTCATAAAATATAATAGAGAGTAACTTAGAATAAAGGCAGTACTCCAGTATAGCAGAACAATGAGGTAAGTGCATCACCTCTCTATGGCTTTGTCCAGCTGATAGATGATGGCCTGCAGCACCGCTCTGTGGGTGGTGACGTCTGGCCGATGGAGACGAGCAGTGAAGAGCGCTAGAGCGGCACCATTAGCATCACGGCCAGGCTGGTAGGATGCATTAACAGGTTATCACAAAAATCAATGGAAAATTCAATTTCGCATCTATTCTTAGATTTGCGAGACGTGCAGCTATGAATTCAGATTGCGACTGTATACAGTTCCAGACCATCTTTAACTCCATCTCCATTCATAAAGAGACACAAAAGATTTTTGAACACAAAGACAAAACTGTCCCTAAATGACCCGCATGTGCACCGTTTTCTGTGTATCATGAATTGTGACTCACCAGGACTGTAAATTTGCCACTCAGCAGCTCAGAGCGTAGGGGCTCCTCGTCAGGGTTGATATTGATGATGCCCTCTTTGATTCTTGTGTTCTTGGGGAGAGAATACGAGTGCCATTAGCTTGCAGCTAGAAAAGCATGTAAACAAACTGCAACAAAATACATCATCAATTTAAGCTTGTAAATAAATGTCCGTCAGACTTTTTGTTGGTGCATTGTTTCTGTAAGGTTCATGTCATTTTGATGGTAAAGAAACACTCAAAACATGCTTCCAACACAGTACAGAGGTAGTGATTGTTGTTGTGCACTCGATTGTTATGGGTGTTCGTGACGTTATTGTCTACCTCCTGTTTAATCTGGCACAGAAGGCCTTTGTGGTCTCACACATCATGACTTGCAGACATGTTACAGTGGAGAGCAGTGACATATCGTAGGGTGCCAGTAGAACAGCATAAAGAAATTGTAAACCCTGCATCATGATCATTTCTTTTTTACAAAAGGGTAGTTTAAAACACCACCAAATAAATCAGATGAAGTTGTTTTATTTCCAATCAGAATTACAATATTGAGAAAGTGAGGTCACAAAGCTTGCAATTTAATATCTTACCTGTAGCTGATGAAATAAATTAATACTGATTTCAGTTTTATCACCATTTAATGCAGTGCAATACCTTGTATGCTTGGAAGAGGTCGATGATCTGGAGACGTCAAACTTGCGGGCCATAAGAAACTTTACAGCTGTGGGGTTGGGACACGAGCCCAGCGCTGTGAGGCTGCTCGCCTGCTGCGCACCTCACCCAGGAACTCCTCCACAGCCTGGACACACAGAGAGAGAAGATGGGATTACATTCCATCATATTCTGTACAGACGGTTATATTGGGCTATAGAAAATGATGATGATTGATTGATTGATGGAAGGAAAAAAGATGAGGGTATTGTGGTCCTGAATTGGAATAACCAGAGGGGGGAGAAACTGTTAAATATAAGACAAAAATAGGGCACACAAACTGACATGACAAAGAAAAAGACACGAGTCTCTCAGCACACCCAGCTTTGAACGGCTTTTTCCCTGCCTAAGTACAAAAATGTGTGATACAGATGGCTTCAGGCAGGCTGTGGCCCCAGGAAGATTAATGTGAATGAGAGCACTCGAATGCCAGGACACAAGAGTCAGCTGATGTTCAACCGCAAAGGAGCGGAATCCAAATATGTAACCAGGCCAAGGACAATGCATGGTAACAACTAGGGCTGCACGATATATCGTGTTGTGACGATAATCGCGATATTCACATCGCAGGAAGTGCGATTTAAAAAAAAAATGTTTTCTTTATTTCTTTTCTTTTTAGGACGTGCGATATTAAGTAGGCAAATTAACTCAAACACGTCATGTTATAATTATTTTGCCTGCTTGCTACAAAGGAAACTCTCATGTCAGGGGTACTTGAGTGAGTGACATGCAGGCTCTGCATGCACAGCAAACCACCAATCACAATCAAATCTCCAAAGCAAACGGACCCGGTGATTAAAGGTAAAAACACTGAATAAAGTAGTTTCATGTGTTTCTCCAGGGCAGTTCGGCGCTGCTAACCGAGCTAGCTCAGCTTGTTGTTCTGATAACTTAAGATCCAGACGTCCGTGACTAAAATCTTTCATCCTTCCTTCACCAATTGTATAGCATTAAAGTTCAAGAAAGGATGGTTTGCGGACAAAAAAAACTGCCTTTTCTTCAATTCCTGTATTTTTTCATATCGCAATATATATCGCAGGGGAAGAAAATATCGCAATGTCCGTTTTTTCCAATATCGTGCAGCCCTAGTAACAACAGATTAACACATCAGCTATGTACCAAACTTGAATCTCCTTACTCATGGGACAAAGTGGATTCAATATGTATATCACCCTATGAACTGTTCGCCCCTAACCCTTATGCAATCTTGTCTTTTGACCCATTTCTTGATTAGATGGGAGGCAAACATAGAGAACTCTAAAAATACGGCAATAAAAAACACCCACCTTTAGGGCTACACAATAAACAAAAAATGAAGGCTTACCATAATTAAATGAACATGATGGAATTTGAGCTTGAAGTTAAAAATACCTCCATAACACATAGAAATCTCTCCTAAATATCGTGAGTGACTACAGTCCAGAGTAGAACAGTAGAGATTTGATAAATACTAATTGCAGGTCTTATTTTAATGCGAGGATTTGTTATTTAGCAGTAATGTAGCACACGATGAAAGTGTAAGCAAGTAGATAGATATCATTTTGGGTGAAAGGTTTTGCTATAATTGTAATCATAGTTTGCTATAGGAGATGCACTATGAATAAGGAATGGTCTTTGACGTACAAATGTGAAACAATAGCATGAATGTAGCACACCATAGAAGTGAAAGCAATGCTCTGTTTGATTAAATGTTGTGCCATAACATATTTTGTCCATAGAAATCAACAAATAATTGTGATAGATAGGGCCCTTGGGATCGGACCATGACAGAGAAGCAAGGGGTCAAATCAGACACATAAGGATATCATAGAGTAGTTTAGCTGCCGTTGACACAACTACAATTTGTAATTTACTATTCGTTATCATGTCATTATGCAACAATTAGTTTAAGTAATGTGATCCAAAGTGACTGTTCCTTACAAAAGTTGTAACATGCACAGTGCACCACCACTTTTCACCTGAATCAATGTGTCATTTGTATATGTAAATGACTCGGTGAGTAACTTTATGTTGCGTCCTTTGGATACAGCGTATATTCTACCATCAGTATCTCAGATAACATTTAGCACTAGGTAAGCTCTCTAGGCAACACGTCGTTGATTTCAGCTGGAGCGAGCTGAACTAGAAAAGGTTTTCAACACAGACTGCATGTGTCGTCAGGGCGGATAATGGCTGTATGTTACTGGCTCTTGGAAAGTGATGTTAGCAACCAGAAACACATCGTAATGTCTCAAGAGTCCTGTGACTTATCCTAGAGATCAGGTAACCATGGAAAGATCAAAGTAGTAGCTATGAAATCAAGCAGTCATCAGAATTGTTGCTTGACATTTAGTGTTTTCCATCAAAGTCAGAGGCCCGCCCCTTTTACTTAGAAGTGTTGGCAACAACAATGCTAGGAACCGGAGGATCACTTCTGTGAATTCTAGACCGTAAATCTGATAGGCAGGACACTGCGAGCTTGTTGGCTCATAGAAAACACTCGCGTAGTATAAGATCTTAAAGTGGGTCTTATCTGTGTCATGGTACATTATGACATTAAACATTTAAAGCAATGAGTGTTGAGTCAATATAAACCTTTACACTTGGTCCAACATTATTTTTAACGTCTAGCAAATAGCTGTCGGGAAATTCCAGCAAGTCAACAATAGCCATTAGCATTAGCCAGCAGCTAGGTTAACGTTACATGTGGCAGCAGGATGGCTAACGATACCGTTAAGACAAGAGAAGCCACATGTGTGGGGCAAACCATAGTCAACGACGTACCACTTGGTGACATTAGGCAATATGATCATATATATGTGTTCCATGGCAGAGCTGGTTATCAAGGGTGTGAGTAATCGACATAAATAGCCGGTTAAAACTGATCCCTACTACTACTAGCAAACGCATGCGTGCTAACACACATGCTAAACTGCTGTCAGTCACGACCGGAGTCAGTCGGGGAGGAGCGAACGGGCCAGGGCTGTTTACTGAAAACACCGTTAAACTGGGACAATCGCCTCGGCCAAAAAATCGCCGGTTGGGGAAGGCAACTAAGGGTGACATGTGTACACAACAAACATGGCAGGGATATGAGTACAACAAATCCGTAAATGAGACCCTTACCAGCTGCTCCTGAGTTGTCAGGGCTTCCGCCATCTTGAAGCCTCCGCAACGTCGCAGCGGGCGCGCCCACCAGCCGCTCGCTCACGCCCTACACCCGAGACGAGAGCGAGGCCCCGCCCCACACGCAACACTGTTTTTATCAATGCACTACTGACAATTCATAAACTGTTTAACAATGCATCTACTACTGACAATTCATGAACTGTTTAACAATGCATCATACTACTGACTTGTCATAAACTGTTATCAATGCAGCTACTACTGACAATTCATAAACTGTTTAAACAATACAGCTTTACTGTTTAACAATGCACCTACTGACACTTCTTAAACTGTTTAACAATGCACCTACTACTGACAATTCTGAAACTGTTTAACAATGCATCATACTACTGACTTGTCATAAACTGTTTAACAATGCATCGTTACTGACTTGTCATAAACTGTTTAACAATACAGCTTTACTGTTTAACAATGCACCTACTACTGACAATTCTTAAACTGTTTAACAATGCATCATACTACTGACTTGTCATAAACTGTTTATCAATGCACCTACTACTGACAATTCTTAAACTGTTTAACAATACATCATACTACTGACAATTCATAAACTGTTTAACAATGCATAACTACTGACAATTCACACACTGTATTAAGCAGCTGCTACTGCTACCATACACTTTATCAATGCAGCTTACTGTTGATAATTCACATACAAATATGTGTCAATGCAGTCTGATAATGACAATTCATAAACTGTTTAGCAATGCAGCTACAAGTGATTATTCATAAACTTTATTTATCAATACAGTTTAGTTTAAACAATTGATCTTTATTTTATTTACAAACTCAGGAACTACTGAACATAAACTTTGGTTGTATAACTGTTACCATTTGACAGTTCAGCAATATATTTAAATTGTAAATATTTTTCACTACGTTATGTCCACCTCACACATGTACAGTTATTAAGGCCAGTTTATAAACGATGGCCTATAAGATTTCCATGATTGTAAAGCTTCTGCCCGTTTCTAATATGTTTTATTTTGTATTGGTATAGGCCCAGAGTGCTTAGGAACCTTTGTATTCAAAGCTTTATCCCTTCGGACTGTTTTTGTAGAGCACCGGGGCGGCTCTTCGGCGGACTTTTTGATTTGACATTTGTAAACCGCTGCATGAATTGTTTACACTTAGCAACATAAATGATACATCATCCGGGCACAGTTGTTTTCGCTTGATCGCTTCCTTACTTTTTATACACCTTGTTAAATATAGATTTGAAAAGAGTTGTGTCTAGAGTCAAACTGATGTCATGTTATTGAAAAACCAACTACTAACTCGTTTGTCAAAAACTGCAGATCTTCAGTATGAGCACCTCAGGTCCTTCGCTGAAAAAGAAGAGTTACATGGGCCAGCACCAAATCAAGAAGAAAAGGTAGGTTTAAATCCAGTTTCACTTAAATTAAATAGTGTTGGATTATTAAGAAAAATTATAGGGATGCACCGAATATTCGGCCACCGAAAATTATCGGCCGAAAATGGTTAAAAAGGCCCTTTCGGCTTTCGGCCGAAAGGGTTTTAGCACCGAAAAAATATCACCGAATGTCAGAACAGGCTTACGTTGGTAACCTAAGGTGTTGTTGTGATGACGTAATAAAGACGCGGCGACCATGCTCGCGGCTGGCTCACAGGGGGGAGAACATTGACCTTTGTCATCGAGATTGCCCTGAGCCTTTAAACAAATCGTATTAAATAATCTGATGACAGAGTGTAAACAGAATAGCTGAAATTTTAACAAACTAAATAACTCAGTTTCCTCTAATCATTAACCCATGTTTGTATCATGGAGTTAACTCCGTGTGTTGCTGCTAGCATACATAACACCTGACGTGGAAACGTTACTCGTGGATGGAGCTACAGAGCTGCTAGAAAGACGGTCGAACCCGGTACATTCCTCCGTCTGCATGCGGTGCACTTTTGCTAAATGTTTAGACAAATTGCTCGTGCTTACATGCTAAACTCTTATTGCACTTATGGTAACAAGTATTCTCCACATCGAGACGGGTACAGTTTAACCACACCTCGGAGCACGTTCTCTCCGCCATCTCCGCAGTGTGCTCCGCTGCATGTAGCAGCTGCGTGTGTGTAAACTGCCCCGCCCCCTCGCACACAGACGGGGGAGAGATCTCGTCTGATCGAAAATACATCATAGACGCATTTGTTGTCTTTGCATATTAGAAACGAGTTGGCGACACTAAGACTGCGATATAATGTTTTTTAGCAATAATACATGACATATATAAATGTACTGTATGCATTCAAAAGTGCTGAATAAATAGTGATTATTATTTAAGTTAAGTTTTGCCATAATCATGTCTATTTCCATAATCAGGTAGCTGAACAACATTGGTAAACAATGTATACATTATATATATATATATTTCTATTAATCATTTTCGGCCTTTCGGCATTCGGTTTTCGGCCAACTGTTTCCTATTTTCGGTATCGGTTTCGGCCAAGAATTTCCCATTCGGTGCACCCCTAAAAAATTAGAACCAGATCAGACCTGTTGCCTAGAGACATCTTTCAATGTTTGTCTATTAATACACAGCAGTCTTGTGTGTTATGTGCTGACCACCTTTTTTATTGATGATAGTTTCCATGCTCCTGATGTTCCACCAGACACACTGTTGCAGAAACCCGACAAAACAAACATCAGCCGCACAGTGAGTGTGACAGCTTGATAGTATTTCTCCTACTTTGTCATCTCCTATTCTTTTACACATCTACATAAAATACGAATTACATGTATTATTCTCCATCTTAAATGTAGGATGGAGGAGAAGGGTTTCCACTGGGGGAATCCACTTTAGCTTTAGATGAAGAAATGCTTCAGGTGTTGGATGCTGTAGATCCCGTGAAGCCTGCCGTTACCACTGCATGTCCAACAACAGGAAACAGAAATGCACAGGAAGAAGCAGCATCATCAGCGGCATTGGCCCCTGTACGTACTGAAAGAGCACCTCAGCCCGGGGGCCTTACTTTACCCCACAGAGCCCCCGGCCCCCAGGGAAGAGTCTGTGGGGGTAGTGGTGAATCTAATAGACCAGGATGGAGATCTGACTGCAAAAATCTTGCACAGCGGCTTCTCTTCAGCGAGGACTCTGAGGAAAGCAGGGTGTGCTCAGAGGGGCCCATACAATATCAAGACACCCCCAGCTTCTGCCTGCATCAATGGGCTTTCCGGTCAAGAAATAAAAAACAGTCTGCAAGTAGACAACTCCACAAAGTGAGTTTTAACTTCCACATCTTTGCCCACTTTCTCTTTAGTTTCAATTATCCGGCTCTATCTTTTTCTGTTGAAAAATGATTTGTCTTACTTGTGTGTTTCAGTAGGCAGGCAAGTACTCACAGAAGAAAAAAACTCTCCTGGTAGCAACAACCAAAGTGTGTCAAATATGAATGCTGATCCACCTCCGGATGGTTCGAGGGACTACATCTTGTTCAGCCCCACCCACCTCGCGGCTAACATGAAGAAAGCTAAACTCCAGTCATCATTACAGAATCACTCTGCCTCTGTGCTCACGGTCCCCAGTGGCTTAGACCTCACTACTCTGAATGACACTTTACCTCAGCCAGGTACCTGCACTCCTTTTCATTTTTAGGGTTCATATTTTTACATTTGTTTCTGTTTCTCTGTGTTGTTGACTTTTGCTGGATTGCTGACTCCCAATCGCTGTGATATATAATGGGACGGGGACCACTACTTGGGGCTTTTAAATAACATTTTGTTATTTGTTCAAGATCCAATGTAGGAATTTGCAACATAAGCAGAACATTTAAATAGTTCCTGAAAGTGAAGTAGATACAAAAAGGAAAATATTTATTATAGCACATTGTGTCAAGACAAAAGACAAAAAAGAGCCAGGACACAGAGACACCTAGTGCGGGGGCTGTCACCTTTACCTGCCAAAAACAAAAAAATGGACATGTAAAGAATTGAAAACCACTGTTACTTTTAAACACTTAACAGTCAGAGCTCAATACCCCATTCACAACCAAAGACATCTACGAAGTCTCAGCCCTCACTCTGAAATAAGATGTATCTTTCCCATATAAAATCCAATTTGCTCTCCTAAAAATACAATGTCTCACAGTACTAAAGACGTCTGATTAAATACTACATGTAAAGGACGTTTTTACTTTTACTGTAGGCGTTGCCTTGTGTGCTCCCGCGGGACAAGCTGAAAAGCTGCTGTTATGCAGTTGGGGCTTACCAAAACCTGTCCTGGAGCGCTACCAGAAACACGGAGTGACTCACATGTTCGAATGGCAGGCTCAGTGCCTCACTGTTGGACAGGTGCTGCAGGGAGGAAACCTGGTATACTCTGGTAAGAAACTGAACCTCTCTTTACAAAGTGATTCCCAGTGCCAGTCATTTTCAGCTCTAGGTTCCTTCTTTTTCAGCCCCCACCAGCGCTGGAAAAACTCTGGTCGCAGAGCTGCTGATGTTGAAGCGTGTATTAGAGACCAAAAGAAAAGCTCTCTTCATTCTTCCATTTGTCTCTGTGGCCAAAGAGAAGATGCACTACCTTCAGGTGAGGAAGAGATGGACAGAAAAGTACATGCATGTTAATATGAGAATTGTGTTGTCCATATGTGTATTTATCTCCATCTAACAAACTTTTATCTGTGTCCCTATAGAGTGTTTTTGAAGAGGCTGGAGTTCGTGTGGAGGGATATATGGGCAGCACCTCGGCGGCTGGAGGATTCTCAAAACTGGATGTGGCTGTTTGCACCATAGAAAAAGCCAATTCTCTCGTTAACAGACTCATTGAAGAGGACAATATGGGTCTACTAGGTAACAGACCAGTGATAACTAGGTTCTTTTTATGTATAAAGTATGAATTTGAAAAGTGTGATTTATTTTGTGCTACAAGGTATGGTTGTGGTTGATGAGTTGCATATGGTTGGAGATTCTGGAAGAGGATACCTACTGGAACTACTCTTAACCAAAATCCGTTACATTTCGCAGAAGCAGAACACCACTGGGTTTGTTTTCTTTATTTTGTCCATATTTGTATTGTTTAACAGCTACGAAGTTCCTCTGATGTCAATCTGTACCTGTCTGTCTGCAGGTCTCTTTCTGAGGGTGTACAGATCATAGGTATGAGCGCCACCTTGCCGAACCTCTCCCTCCTGGCCGGCTGGTTGGGTGCAGAGCTTTACCAGACCGACTACAGACCTGTGCCCCTGCTGGAGCATTTCAAGGTGGGCTGCAACATCTACGACAAGAGCCTCTCTGTGGTCCGGAAGTTTACTCCTTTACCCCACATTAAGGTAACTGAGAGTGTAGTTCAGATATCATCCAATGAGGGTGTCATAATGAATGATGCCTACTTTTCTGACCAGTAATATAATCATGCGCTGTGTGTAATACATGTGATTCATAAAGGGCGATGATGACCACATAGTGAGCTTGTGCTATGAGACTGTGAGAGAGGGCCGCTCTGTGTTGTTGTTCTGCCCCTCGAAGAACTGGTGTGAGAAGCTGGCAGACAGCATCGCCAGAGAATTCTACAACCTCAGAAATGCTGGTACAAAATAATTTACATTTTGAACTTTCTATATTTAAAGGTCATCTATTATGCAAAATCCACTTGTTCATGTCTTTTATACATAAATATGTGTCCCCTCTGTAAAGAGATTCTGAAAGTTTCAGGAAAGAAGATTCTCTCTCTTTTTGTCCTGATCCATTTATATAAAAACCTGTCTGAAAATGAGCTGATCAGATTTTGGCCACTTTATGAGGTCATAACGATTTTTGGCTTGTGTAACCGTTAGCCAATCACCAACCAAGGTAACACCCGCCCACCTTATCACCTGAATCTCCTCCTAGAGCACCATTGTGTTCTTTTTAACCAAATATCTCGCAGAGGGGCGTGGGGAGTGGCTCCTTATTGTCATCTAAAGCAGGGGTCTCCAACCTTTCTTCATCTGAGAGCTACTTTGAAAAAATGAAAGTGGCCAAGAGCTACTTCCATCACATCGCTTACATTTCTTCACATAGCACTCATCGGTTAAATTAAGCTACTTTTGTACACGTGTGAAATTGTAATACCCAAAGCTTATCAAAAATCTTAACTTCACATAAATGTCCAAGAGAAAAAGAAAATGTTTCACTTCTTATTATGGCCCACATAGTAAATACATCACCTTAATCACCACCTTACAAGCATCTTATGGCACATAAATAAATAAATAAATAAGTGCATTCACTCTTTTTTACAGTTAGTGAGATGAATGGCACTGCATGGAGTCCACCAGAGGGGTATGCTGGAGTGTACCCACTTAGGTTCACTCTAATAGAGTCATTTAAATATTCATCAGTCAGTCTTGTTCTGTATTTAGATTACATTCATGTCAGAAAAAGCTGCTTCACAAAGGCATGTAGAGCCAAATAAAGCAGACATTTTCAGTGCTGCTTGGTGAATGTTCTTATTATAGTTTTCTGGGTCTACAAGGCTCCAGAAATGTTGTGAGTTTTGCAGAGACTTAAGCTGAACATGATTTTGGAAATGTATAACCTCCATCTCCACAGGATTGACACAGTTCAGCCATCTTCTTCTTCTTCTTCGTCTTGACATGAAATTATAAACCATAATAAATCAATTGCATAGGTCTAGCATCACTGTGTGAAATTGTTCCATCCTCAAAAACAAAAAACTAATACTTCTGCAGTCTAGCTGCAGCTTCTAGCAACGGTCTTCTGTTAAAAAAGGACACTGAATGTCCTGAATGTGGCATCACACACAGGACTTGAGTCTGAACACAGCAGACAACAGAAGTATTTACAACAGCATATACAAACTAAAATAGTGCATGTGGGTGCACACTTACATTCTCTGTCTTACTGTTACATAAATCCCATGAATGTATGAGATTAAATTAGCTTCATCATCTCAATCAGTGATTAAGTGAATAATAAAGTTTCTATCAGGTTACTATCAGCCTGTCACTCATTATTTTTAGGGAGGGGGCGGGGTTTGGAGGAACAGAGGAGACAGTGATCGCGGAAGCTTTCCTCCTGCCTTCACAAACTTTACACAAGTATTTATCAACTGAAAATAGCAAGAGGACATTCATACTCTGCAATCCAAGACTTGATTAAATCCACCAAAAACCTGACATGGTGCTAACGCGAGTATTTTTTAAAACATAAATCCATGTGTGTCTGAGCCGCAGCGACACGGACTGATTCAGGTGCATTTATTTTCGTCGGATTCTTTATAGTCTGTGAACCGCGAGCGGCGAGCTACTGAAAAGCTGCCCGCGAGCGATCGACGTGTTGGAGACCCCTGATCTAAAGTAACAGACAGAGAATCAGCACTTTTGAAACAGGGCTGAGCAGAGGGGTTTACAATGCATGATCTGTTTGGTATTTCGAGCAAAACACTTCAGAGACATGTCTTGTATATATCTGAGACCTATAATATATTGATGAAAAACAGTATAATAGGGGACCTTTAAAATTGAGGTCAAGTTCTAAATATTGTTTGTGAATGAAGTCTTGTTTCTGGTCTCATCCTTTCAGGTGGTCAGGGCGAAGCAGAGCCTCAGGCAGTGCGTCTGGATCGGAATGGATTAGTGGATGTTGTAGCCCAGCTGAGAAGAACTCCAGCTGGTTTAGACCCCATCCTCCAGAGAACTGTGCCATGGGGGGTGGCCTTCCACCACGCTGGTAAGAATTTCTTACCAACCACAACAAACTTCTAAATAAATGGCTATGTTTCTGTGTATATGACTAAGTTCAAGTCTGTCTTTTTAGGTTTGACTTTTGACGAGCGCGATGTGTTGGAGGGAGCTTTTCGTCAGTGCACGGTCAGAGTCCTCGCTGCCACCTCTACCCTCTCGTCAGGGGTTAATCTCCCCGCTCGCAGGGTCATCATTCGATCCCCTACCTTCAACGGACACATGTTGGACCCGCTCACGTACAAACAGATGGCCGGACGAGCAGGGAGAAAAGGAGTAGACACTATAGGTAAAGAGGGAAAAAGGGACAAAGAGACACAAAATGAGACAACAACATTCAGTCATAGTATTTGGCCTCATATAAGTAGAAAAGTGAATTAAAATAGATCTCTCTTTTGGCCTCACATCATTTTATTCGTCTTCTTTCAGGTGAGAGTGTGCTGGTGTGTAAGGAGATAGAGCGTCAGAAAGGAATTACTCTCCTTACGGGTACTCCTCAGCCAATCAGCAGCTGCCTGGTGAGAAGAGAGGGAGAGGGCGTCACCACCAGCATGCTGAGAGCCATCCTGGAGGTATGGCTGACATCTAAATCGACTTGGCACCCTATGAAATGATTTATATGTCGTATTTAGATCAAAACAAATACTTCTTGAATAAAACTGTTCTCATCCTATGGAGACCGTTAATATAAAGTACATTTAGTTTACCTCCATTAACGTAACATTTATTGAATCAACCCAACTTGCAGATCATTGTCGGAGGTGTAGCCAGCACGCCACAGGATGTGAGTTCATATGCTTTGTGCTCACTTCTGGCTGCCAGCATAAAATGTGACGGCAAAAAAGAATCAACTGAAGAGACCAACAAAGGCGCTATTGAGGCCTCTGTAGAATGGCTGATGGAGAATGAATTTATCAGTATCCAGAAGGAAGGACAAGGTATTGGATATCTGTACACACAATTAAAGTAGACTTTTAGCAACAAATGGAACCACTGTTACACAAGTGTCCTTCATTTTTCAGATTGGAATATGTGCACGAAGTGTAAAACCAGAGTTTAAGCTTAACCACGTTTTAAATAAATATATACTATGTCTATCCCAATGTCTTTGCCGTACCCAGAGGAGCGGTACTGTCCGACCCAACTAGGTGCTGCCACCCTCTCCTCCTCCCTCTCCCCTCCTGAGGCTCTGGGAATATTTGCAGATCTCCAGCGGGCTATGAAGGGATTCGTACTGGAAAATGACTTGCACATTCTGTATCTGGTACACATGCACAGATATTGTTTTATTATTTGCTTAAAACGTTGTCAACTTTATTTATCCCTAAATGTATGGTGTAGCCATACATTCCTAATAGTAACCTAATCTTAATTCTACCTCTAACCCATACCAAAAATATCCCATCCTAAAATGCACAGTATTTGAAATGTTATGTCCAAATTCCCCTCAGATCACCCCGTTGTATGCAGAGTGGACAACCATAGATTGGTACCAGTTCTTCTGTCTGTGGGAACAGCTCTCGTCATCGATGAAGAGAGTAGCGGAGCTGGTGGGCATCCAGGAAGGCTTCCTCGCAAGATCTGTCACAGGCAAACTGGTCGCCAAGACAGAGAAGCAGCGTAGACAGATGGCCATACATAAACGGTAATGCACTTATGTAAGATAAATTCTATCATGGTATAGGAAAAAGTCACATTGTTTTCTGTATTTGAACTAAAACGTTACTGAACTCGTTTTAGATTTTTCACCACCATTGTGCTCCATGATCTGGTGAATGAGGTGCCTTTGGGAACAGTGGCTTCCAAATACAACTGCAACCGGGGGCAGTTACAGTCTCTTCAGCAGTCTGCTTCTACGTATGCAGGTAAATGCTCAAGAGTAATGCAGAGCGTCTCTAAGGACTCCAACACCGGACATGTTACCCTGTAGCATATACCGACTGTGAATTACACACACAACTTTACATTAAAAAGGGAGAGCAGTAACTTGAAGCAAGAAGCACTTTAGACTGACGTATATATACAGCATAGACTTTAATCCATTAGCTGATGTTTCGGCACCTATATACTTCCTTCAGAGCCACGTAAAGTGCCTACGCTTCTTGCATTAAGTTACTGTGACAGGGTTTAGAAGATGCTAGTGAATTACAGAGTCAGATAAGATAAGATAGGACTTTATTTATCCCGAAGGAAATTGTTGTGCCAGAGTTACAAAGATACAATAAACACAGCAGCATAATAATAAAACTGTACACTAACAGTGCAGTAAAAAGAGCAATTAAATAACTACAAGAAACATAGACGGTCAAATAATCAATAGAAAAAAGCAGTATTGAATAGTGCAAAGAAACGTAGTGGCAGATACGTAATTGCACGTTATTATTGAACATTATAATGATATATATGTTCCGTGCTTGAATGCGACATGTGACAACTTTGTCTGGGTGTGATTAGATATTGTCAATGATCAATGCAAACTCTAAGGAAATCCGAACCACAAAGCATTAGTATTTCAATGACTCTAAATCAAATGCTCATACGCTATAACACTCTGCCTCATTGCCATCCCTTCAGGTATGGTAACAGTTTTCTGCAAGCGCCTGGGCTGGCACAACATGGAGCTGCTGTTGTCCCAGTTCCAGACCAGGCTGAGCTTCGGAGTCCAGAGGGAGCTGGTGGACCTCGTCAGGGTTTCTCTCCTGAATGCCACACGAGCCAGAGCAGTGTACGCACAAGGCCTCTGTACTGTCGCTGAGCTCGCCAGGGCTACTGTAGCTGATGTAGAGAAAGCCTTGAGGAATGCTATCCCATTTAAGAGGTAGGTGTGTGTTTGTTTGCTTGTTTACATTTCAGATTTACACACATATTATTTAAAAGGATATGACTCTCTTTACAGCACACAGACTGAACATTATAATTATTATAATTAACATCATACGGAAAAACTAAAACCTACTCCATGTACCACTTTTAAATGTGTTTATCAACGAGAAATTATAAATGCTGGCATTCATATTGATCTTTTTTTAATTAACTAACTTGTTTGTCTCTATTGAATACAACCTATTCGCAAAATAACGAAGGGTCAACAGTGAATTGATTGATTATTTAATATGATTTGATTAAATATAAATTAAATATTTCCCAAAAAAGAACTCGACATGTAAATTGTAAAAAGTAAAGACACTAATTCAGGCACACATTTAACAAATGCTTTTGGATTGTGCAGGCTTTACTCTTGACAACACTATTTTAAAATACACCAACTCCTTTATTTTGAAAAGGTCATGGTGATCAAATCAAATCAAGTTTGATTTATATAGCACATTTTTAAACGATTTTTGGTCGAGCCAAAGTGCTGTACATATAATAAAAAATACCCTACAGTAAAGACACTTTACAGCAAATACAACAGCACAGTTTGTGCAGAATATCAGTATGAGAAAGATAGAAGCAGGTACATTCCCATTACATCCTCTTAAGCCTTAAGCATGCATAAAGTATGTGCAACTGTAGTATAAGCAAACAACATTAATCTCTCTGAAACATGACCCCAGATGAAAAGCACATTTTTCCCGGTCTGTCTTTGTTCCTCAGCTCTAAGCGTGCAGTGGATGAGAGTGAGGTGGAGGCAGCAGAGAGACGGAGCCTCCGCTGCGTCTGGGTCACCGGGGGTCGGGCCTTGACGGAACAGGAGGCCGCCGTTGAGATTGTTTCTGAAGCGAGGCTCCTCCTTCAGGAAGACCTGGCCCGCTTAGGAGTTCAGTGGGACCCGACAACCCTTCCCCCTGGAGCTCCTGCCGTAAACAGCCCTGACGACTCAGACACCTCAACTGCATCAGATTTGAGCTCACATGAAGCACAGGTTGACAACAACAAAGATTCCCAGCAAGGAGACAAGATTGAGAAAAGTAGAGATATTGAAAGACATGGAGAGGAGAGTGAGGAGAAAAACAAACTGAAGGAAAGGAAAATGGAGGAAGAAAAAGAAAAAGACAAAAGAGAGCAGGGGTCTAAGTTCCAAGTCAGGGTGGTAAACAGAAAACCAGAGGCGCACAGACAATTAAATAGGACAGACAACAGAAAAACTATGAATGGAGTGCAAGTAGAAAGAAGCAAAGGTACAAAAAATGATGAGACAAATGACAAAATATCAACGGCAAACAATACAGAAGATCCAGATGAAAAAAGAGAAAGGCAAAAGCAGACAAGGCCAAAGCAAGGTGGAGAAGAGCAGAAGAAATCAGAGCAAAAAGAAGGAGAGAAGAGTAAAGAGATTGTCTCAATCAGACCAGAGAGTCCTCAGGCCAACCGTCCTGTCGCTGAAAGGAGCCTGACCCAGGAATTAGCTGATATCATATCCAGCCCCCTGCCTCTACTGACGCTACGTCCTCAGCCCTCTCTCTCCCCTATGCCTCCTCCTCGGTTTAGAGCTCCAGTATCACGAGTAGAAGAACAACACATCGTTCCTGTAAGGACATCAGATGGCCTTGCTGCCTCACCTGTGCACCCACGTAGACTGATACACTCGAGAGCCTTAAGCAAAGTCCTCAACTCTATACAAACTGACAAAAGCCTACAAAATAACGTAGTGCCTGCAGAGACATCACACTCAATACCCTCAGCGCCTGCAGGCCAGGTGACTTCAGCAGTTAGTGTTCCTGACCCCTTGGAGAAAACCCCTCCTGGTATTTCTTCACCTTCAGATGCAGATATGTTAGACAATCCCCTCATTGTCTCTCCTACCTCTGTTCCCTTATTCTCTCCTGAGGCCAAGCGAAGAAGGATGGATGGTGGAGAGGTAGATACCTTTTCATCTCCTGAGCTGTACGCAGGAGAAGCTGAGGGAGACGTTAAAAAAGGAGAGGAGAGTTTCGGTGACAGCTTTGAATTGGACACTCAGACAGAAAGAATGATTGTTCAATCGGCATTCCAACACAGAGATGGGATTGATAGAGGTACGAGTCAAACAGTAGAAACAGAAATGATAGAGGATGTGGTAAAGACAGCTGTAGAAATCAATCAGGACAATAATGAGGGACATCTTGAAGCCCCAGTTGATGCATGTCCAAGATTCAATGTTTCTATCACAGATAGTCAAATGGAGCTCATTCTCAACACCAGCAACCAGGTGAGTATCCAGAATAATCCATTCTTTTATTCTTATATTATATACATGTTCAAGTGGTTTAAAAATCAAATATTGTTTTTACAGAATTCCCCTGGTCCATGGGGGGATAATGTAGTCGAAGATAAGGATGAAGGCGGCGATGAGGAGGCTGCCTCTGAGAGTGTTAACAGGAGCAGTAGCTTCCTGTTCGACAGCCTGTACGACAGCTTTCTGCTGGCTGGTCTCGGCCAATCAGACGAAGAGGAGCCTGTTGGCCAGGAGATCATAAACCCTCTTCCATCGAGCCAGGAGCAGAGACGCAGTGAGCTTCTCGCAAATCAGGAGGCTGAAAATCAGGAGGCGGTCCAATGGGGCGAGTCCTCCTTCAACCTGTCAGAGTGGGGCGACTCGCTGATGGTGGGGGAACACTTTCTGGAGAGGCAGAGCTTGCTCAAACACACAGAGAGAGCTCAAGGGGCCACACGTCAGAAAGCTCAGCAACCCAACACAGACAATGTTCAGATGTCAGAATCACAGCCAAAACTCCGTCAGACAAAGCCACAACCCACTACTACAACTACTACCACAAATCAAAATGAGCATGACAAGGAAAACACCAGTAATAATCAAGGCAATAAACACACAAATAAACAGCATAGTTATGCACAGAGTGACAATAAACCAGGCAAGAGACAGGAAACGATCAATGAACAGGGTGAAAATGGAAGCAAGGAGAGACACACGTAAAGAAAGGAGAAATTAATGCTGTATTGTTAGATAAGGCAGTTTTAAATCACCCAGAAGTCCAAAACGCACCTGAAAGCTGTTTTGACTGCAGCCCTGGTTTGCAAGACATCTTTGACCGCTGGCCTAGTATGTCCGACCAGCCCTGGCAAAACACTACAACCGGCCACCTGACAACCCATACGCTCAAACATGCTGCAAATACAGCAGAAGTTCCAGATCCACCTCAGACCTCAATACAGGTGGAGAGAAAAGGAGCAAAGTCAAAAGCTGTTGTTGCTGAGAATGATTCTCGGGAGGAACAACCCTCAAGACGTGACAGTGAGAATGTAACGGAGAGACCAGGCTCTGCCGGTGATCTTATTCCCCCTACTCAGGAAACTCCACCTGTCACACCAAGAGTAAAAATGACGACGTCATCTGTGCAGTCACCTCTCATCGCTAAGCCAATCAAACAGTCGACTCCCTCAACTCGGCTGCTACAAAAACAAGTGATCACAAAATGTCCTACATCTGGCCCGGGACACAGTAAAAATCGATCAGAAGCTGACGCTGAACAGCCTAATTCTACATCAGACCGCTCCCACGGACACCAGCGGGGACAGAAACCCAACACTGTTACACGCTCGAGGGCTAGAACAAAACTCTTGCTACACAGTGACCAGAACCTAAGCCCTCCCGGAGGTCCTGCTTCCCCGCCCCCCCGGGGGAAGCTCCCCTCTGATGCTGAATCACCTGTGACTGATGAAGGCTTCTCACTTCAGCTGTCCCAGGATACATCGCTCGGTTCTAGCAGCTCAGGGGCCTTCTCCATTGTAGACGTGGCAAGTGACAGGCGCCTCTTCAACACTTTCATCAATGAGTGGAAAACAAAGGAGCGGTACTCTCTGGCTTTGGCCTGTGAGAAGAGGGAGCACAGTAATCAAACTGAGGAGGAAATAGGAGGGAAACATAAGAGAGGTAATTGATGATACCTGTTTTTGCCAAGCGCTAACCCAGTGATTGAATATATCTAGTTTTGCTTGGACAAGTCTCCCTTGCATTTGTGTTTTTGCATGGTTATCTAACACATGATACATTTTAAACATTATAAGCAAAGCCCATGCTGTTTGCAATGTCCTCATCCATGCCTGTGTTGTGTGTGCAGCATCAGCAGTTAACCAGAGGCTCCACAGGGACGATGGTTTTCCAATAATAGACAGGGATGGACTGGTGTTGATTGGACTGTCTGTCTGCTGGGGGGCAAGAGATGCCTACTACGTGTCTCTGCAGCAAGAGCAGAGCAAAGGTATTATACACACACATACATACGACTTATTTTCTTATAAGTGTATGTTTGCACCATTAGACACCAGAGCTAATTCCTTGAATGTGTAAATGTACCTGGCAATAAACCTGATTCTGATTCTGATGTCTTTTCCACCTCAGGTTTGAGCGCCAGTCTGGCCCCTCCCCCTCTGGATGATGATTTGCCGGTGAGTGAGAGGCTGCAGCAGGTGAAGGCCGGTCTGAGCAGGACGCCTACAGCTCCAACAGGAGGTGTGGTCGTCACGTGGGACATCATCCAGGTGTACAAGACGCTGGTCATGAGTTGTGGCATCAGCTTGGAGGGAAACTGTGAAGATCCCAAGGTGAGGGGAATCATGCTATATGGGATTTCATTTAATACCTCTGATTGACATTCTCACACACCAATGACTTTTTTGACTCTTATTATCAGTGTCACTGCAGTCGGTTTTCTATAAACACGGTTTGCCATCAGAATAATTTGAACAGTGCTAAAAGCATAAACATAATCTACACATAGGTGTCATGTCAAATGTTCATATAATCATTTAAATAATATATATAGCAGTGGCGAACCGTGTCTATCACAACTGGACCTTCTGTAGACACACACACCCCCTCCCCTTTGCGGCATTACAATGTCCGTCTTTTCACTGAATTGTGGTCTTGAAAAGGGTACTCACAACAATTCCGCAACAACTTCATCTTCACCTGTTGCACTTGTCATTTCAACGATAAAAACAATAAAATGGCATGAATTGCTTCGTCGCATTCATCTAGATCCTCTGTCTCGAGCCAGTTAACTAGCGGGCCTTCTAGAGCACCCTGGAACCGAGGGGAACTCTGAAAGAATACGCCCATTGGCTACAAATCAATATATGATTGGTTGATCAAACTGACAGTCCAAACGTACGCTCTCATTCAGTGCAACGGCCAGGGCATTCTATCAAGGATATAGAATACCTTGGTTGAAGAATATTCTACCCAGATACCCAGAACAAGATCTGATTGGTTGCTTTCTTTTCTAACAGAAAACCACTGAAATGCGTAGTGCATGGTCCGAGAAGGACAAACAAATCAACGTACCACTGTAATATTACAGATCAACAACACACATACGATTCTCATTTATTCATTTTATATACATTTTATTACATTTATTTATATAATTAAATCGATTTTTTGTTTGTTTTATCTGAGTGTTCCAGGGTATTCTCTGAATACCTTGAAGGCCCTGACGGTTCGCCACTGATATATAGATTATGTCTTATACTCTGATTGCCTTTTACTCATTTAAATAGTATTTTTTTGTCCTAAATGTGTTTAACAGAGACATATGTTTAGGATTTACATTTCAGGAAGGGCAAAAGGTGGATTTGCAAATGGTTAAGGACTGTGGGGTTTTATGCTTTAATGGTGGGGATTTTTAGACAATGCCTAAGAGAATTGATGGGTGAGACCAGTTGGCTATTTTCTCTCTAGTGTAAGCTGTGTTCGGGGTGCAAAGCCATTTTATCCTTTGAGGATGAAGTTGCTCTGTTCCTGGGTTTGAGATCGATTTCAATTGTATATAGACTTTCTCAATTACTTTATTAAATATAGCAAAAGGCACACTTTGTCCATGAATCATTTATCAGTTTCTCTTAAGGGAATTAGAATTTCCTCCACAATAGGGACTTTCAATGAACGTTTAAGAAAAACCTGAAAGTTGATAAGAACCCATTTCTGCTATGAAATGTGTTTCGGACACTTTATCAAAGTTGTTTTGATTGTCTGCCACAGGTTGCGTGCTGGCTGTTGGACCCTGGCAGTGAGGAGAGGACTCTACCCAACATGGTGACGGTCTACTGTCCTGAAGAGTTGCCTCTGCTGGGCGGACTTGGAAACCCGCATGCACACGATCCTCGTGTTAGGGCAGCAACCAAGAGCGTGCTCGTACACGCTGTCATGAACCATCTGACCGGCCTGCTAGAGAAAGACGGCATGCTTGGTATAAAGAGTATATATATATTGGACATCTTCAAGTCATCATTAAAAACTCACCTGTTCACCATGGCCTTTGACCCCTAACCCATCACAGTCCCCCTGCTTCCACTCCTACTGCTATTTATTTAATTTGTACTTTATTATTTGCCCCTTTTGTTTGTTTGTTTGTTCACCATGTAATTGTAATATTATTATTAAACACTAACAGACATTCATACATTTCCAGAGTATAGATATAAGTGTGTAAAATATACGTAATTTAACCCTTTTTTAATGTTTTTAAATGCTTGTGACAGACTTATTCAGAAGCATTGAGATGCCCTCGCAGGTGTCTTTGGCTCTGTTGGAGCTGAATGGAGTGGGCTTCAGTGTTGAAGAGTGTGAAAGACAAAAGCATGTGATGCAAGCCAAACTCTCAGCACTGGAGTCCCAGGCCTACAACCTGGCCGGACACAGCTTCTCCCTCACCAGCATCGACGACATAGCACAGGTCTGACCATTGTCCCAGCATAATACAGCAGAGTAAAACTTCCCATTTCCAAACGTATGTGTCCTCATATGCATGTGTACTATAGGTGTTGTTTTTAGAGCTGCACCTGCCTCCAAACGGTGACGGAGGTGGATCCAAAAGTAAGAAGACTCTTGGCTACACCAGACGAGGCGGCGGCAGAGTACGACTTGGAAAACAGTTTAGCACCACCAAGGTGACACCTTTAAGTTATTACACTGTAACTGTTGTGTGAAGATCAGGTTATATTTGTGAGATAACGTGCCACTTTGTTTAAACCGAATTGTAATGGTTGGTAGGATGTTCTGGAGAAGCTCCGCCCTCTGCACCCGTTGCCAGGTGTGATCCTGGAGTGGAGGCGGATCACTAACGCCCTGACTAAGGTGGTGTTCCCCCTGCAGCGGGAGAAGCAGTACCACAACACACTGGCCATGGACAGAATATATCCCATCGCCCAGACACACACAGCCACAGGTAATACACATACACACTCAAAGACATTAAATGCGCCTGTGTGTGGACACACCTTAATGTCGTTGGTAATTTAATACTTTTGTTGGATACAGTTTTTATTTGAAGTAGAACTACAGCGTGCATTGACCAAGTTCATTCTGTTTTCAGGTAGAGTGAGCTTCACTGAGCCCAACATACAGAATGTCCCCAAAGACTTTGAGATTTCCATGCCCACGGTGGTGGGGGAGAGCCCACCTTCACAAGACGGCAAAACAGGGTAGGTGAACATCAATACATCAATATTCAGTTTATATCTGATGCATATAAACAAAAAAACAAGATTATATTTTCCAAAGATTCATATTTCAATTTTAACGTTTATTTATGGATTGTGATGATACGCGTGGATTTGAGTCATCTATACACCTTCATTTGTTTTTCATATTTCTACAATCAGTCATATGGAAATCTCTGCAAAGACTATGACTTATAATACACCTATAACACTGCAATGCCAATCCCCCTTTGCTATGTTGGTTTGAGATGGTTTAAAAGTGAAATAAAACATTTACCAATTGATAAAGACAGACTTTAGGTATTTAAAGTGAAACAATAACATACTACATTATGTATGTGGGTGGGAATGGTTTGGAATTCCATGAGTAATCACCAAACTTGGCTGGAGTTACATTAAGGTTAATACTTTTGTCCAACTAATGCCCATACTGTTTTGATACAGAAAGAAAAGACACTCTGCGGTGACCTCAGAACAAGGCCCGGCCTTCTGTGTCAGCATGAGGCATGCCTTCGTTCCCTTTTCAGGTTACTATAATGATATAGTTGCTTTGTGTCACCTTTACTGTCTGCAACCTTGTCTCAGAGTGCTCTACCAGCTGTGTCTCTCTGTACTGTGCTGTAGGTGGGATGATATTGGCAGCTGATTATTCTCAGCTGGAGTTGAGAGTGTTGGCTCACCTCTCTAAGGATCAACGCCTACTGCAAGTCAGTAAAAAGCAAGGAAACATCACATAACTAACATAAAAAAACATGTAAAATAAATGAACCGTGGGCATTGCCAGGTGTTGAATGGAGGAGCAGACGTGTTTCGCTGCATCGCTGCTGAGTGGAAAAGCATTGACCCCGAGTCTGTGAACGACAACCTCCGACAACAGGCCAAACAGGTACAGCTAGGCAGGAGAGAGAGAGACGGTCACATGGACCCGCATGCATTCTCACGGCTGTTGTCTTTGCAGATTTGCTATGGCATTATCTATGGGATGGGAGCTAAGTCTTTGGGGGAGCAAATGGGAGTGGAGGAGAACGACGCGGCCTGCTACATCGAGAGTTTTAAGGCTCGATACAAAGGTATACACTGCTGTTTGATTTTCATTGTTATAAATTGTTTGTGCATTTTAATATTTTGCAGTTTGTCGCGGTAACAATCCTACAAAAATGAATTGTTCATAATGTAATCCCAAGCATTGTTTGCAGTTACTTTTATAAAAGAGGGTATAATCATTAGAAATACAGAAGTACAGGGAACAGAAATGAAGTATCCATGCCTTGTCTTGTGTTTCAGGGATCAATGCTTTTCTGAGAGAAACTGTGAAGAACTGTATAAAAAACGGCTATGTTCAGACACTGATGGGCCGCAGGAGGTACCTACCTGAGATCACTAACGCCAATACGCACGTCAAAGGGCATGTAAGCACGTTCTTCATGGGAACTTTACATTGTTTATTTGTAAGATGGGCAATGTCTAATTAAAGTGTGATTATTGAATTGACTACATTACATCCCTGTGTCTTCAGGCAGAGCGCCAGGCAGTAAACACAACTGTGCAGGGTTCAGCAGCAGACATTGTGAAACTTGCCACCGTGAATATCCAGAAACGACTGCGAAAAACATATCCTGCAGCGCCCCTCTCTCACCAGCACACACATTCAGGTGACTTACATCTTATTTCCCCATTATGTATACTCTACATGCAGGAATAGATCTTACGAAGTCTGCAGATTAACCATGTTATATGATGTCTGTTATACAGCCAGCAGTAATCGCAGGGTGCGAACATCTCCACTCAGAGGAGCCTACTTTGTACTGCAGCTGCATGATGAGCTCATCTATGAAACCACAGAGGAAGACCTCATACAGGTAGGAACAGTAATATTTGGATTGTTAAATCATCAGTAGTGTTTGGTAAGTATTTTATAGTAGTTTAACAGGTTACAGTTGTATGCATGCATTGATAAGTCTCATTTCACAAAATAAAGAACGGGGCCCTAATATGATACAGTATGTTTGCAGTAAATGATTAGCCTGTGATGAAAGATAACCATTTGTTCGTTTTGAGTAATGTAGACTATATATTTCCTACGCATTCAAGCGGAGAGAAAGTGGAAAAGCCCATACATAAACATCATTCTTTGTATTTCTGTCAGGTTGCTCATATAGTGAAGAGGGAGATGGAGTCGGCAGTAAAACTGTACGTAAAGATGAAGGCCAAAGTCAAGGTGGGACCCAGCTGGGGCAACTTGCAGGACCTAGATATATAATGGAAATGTGTTTATGTTCGACTAACATGAAATACATTTTGTTTAAGGTTCTGTAATATATGTTGAAGCTATCATTTGTACAGAAATCTGTATTTTTAAATCCCTAAATTAACACAAATGAAATGCAAGATGAAAACATGCTTATGATGGCATATGAGCTCTAAATGAACTATTGAATGTATTTATACTCTATCCAACAGTGTACAGTTATCAAGTATATTTCTAGTATAGAATTGTATTTACCGATATCCCAACACTTGACATGAGATGATATGCAAGATGATATTTTATTTAATGTAATACTTGACATGTTTGTGTTCATTTCTCTACTTTGAAACATGTGGCTGCAACAACACTTATTTTCATGAATGAATAATGTGCTAGTGGTTTCTTTTGTGAATGGTTCACTTTATAAAATGTCAATTTTTAACAAAGGAACATAACACCTTCCCAGAGCTGTTAAGGTGAAGTGTATACATGTATTGTTATGTTCCACAAATAGCCTTCATCTAATATACAATATATATTCTGTGTGAAGCTGGAGAATGTTTTGCCTTGTTTTCACTACTTGGAAACAGATGATTGAAACTTTATAAAAGAAAATCAGCAAAATAGTTGAAGGTTTTTTTTTTCTGTGAAAAAAGTAATAGTTGTATATCTGTTACTTATGTAAAACAAAGACACAGAGCAGCTTTAGTCTTGTGGACATCAAGAAATCTTATATTTTATTGGACCATTGGTTGAGTTGTCTGTCACAGGAACACACATCATTGTCACATGTTGACATTGTTTACACTTATGACATTCACTACACAAGAAATGTTGTCGATATGATATTTCCTGTGCAAAGTGAATTGCTGAACCTCTGGTTATGGGGAGAAAAATAAACGTGGCCAAATAATCATTTTGTGTCTTGGGACCGTAATTCTATTACATAATAGAAGTACGATTCACTTTTTATACCCCTTTATTGACTTTTGTCCATTGTTGATTCACAATTACCACGACTCCACGGAGCTCATCAACACAGGCTCAGTTTGACACACAAGTGACAAGAATTAGTAACAAGTAAATAAATACATGTCATGGACACACATCAATAAACAAATGCAGTTGTTTATCAAATAATGAATTAACAGCACAGATTTGAACAAACATGTTTCTTTCAACAAAAAATGTGTTTTAAAACAGGAGTGTAATCCTGGATGTTGAACAGATGTTTTGTGTCAGTCAAAACTTGTTTTATTTCTGTGTGTGACAGCCATTGAACTCATGCCGTTTATCTAATGAAGAACATACTGTTTCAATCAAATTGCTGCTTTTCTGAATAGTTGGCACTTGTCAATAGCACAGTGACACATCCCTAAGAATTGATGTGCATCATGTGATAAAGCATGGTAAGATGCTGCCTGTGTGTTGCTCTGTAATGTTTTAGGTAATGCCCGTCCCCTGTGATATGAGGCAGTCAAGGTGATCATAAAAGAGAACAACCATCTGCAGACACAATGATAATCAGTATCTTTGGTGGTTTCACTGTTCTGACCTTTTGCACCTGGTAATTGTACATACATTATGATTTCCAGCCAATGAGAGGACAGAGGAAGAAGACGTGATGCCTACCAACTACAAATCCACATCCCTGCCCCTACAGTCCTATCACCACCCGCTTTAGGGACTTGCAGACTATAAACAGAAATTAGACAAATAGGGAGTATGCAAGTTTCTGTAAACATAGTTTTTAGTCAGACTCACTGCCACAAACAGAAACAAATGTTATGAATCAATTAAGGCATCCACACAGGCAGAGCTGTGCATTTCACCAGAGTAGAAAACAGAACAGAGAAAATATGTACACAGGTACAGTTAAGTGCTACTCAAGCAGCCTTGTGTGGGCAAGAACAAATCTGGCTCCAGGACTGGCACTGTCTTGCTCCATTACGTACAGGGGGCTGGTGTTGGGCCAGGGGCTTTGCCCGTGTCAGAGAACATCCTGAGGGAAAGCTCTTGGCCATGGCCCAGGTTATTTAGGGTACAAGAATTTACATGAAATAAGGGAAGTAAGGACACAAGAGGTTTGAAGACGACATCCAGGAAGGTGTCAGGGTGTCAAGACGACATCCAGGAAGGTGTCAGGGTGTCTCTCCATTGCGGCTTAAGAAGTACCTGACGGGGGGGCCGGGGAGGTCATCGTCTCCGTCCGCCTCTGGAGCGAAGGACACGGTGAGGTCAACGTAGCGGCGGTCCACTGACGGCTTGATCAGCTTCTGCATTCTGAACAGAGGGAGAGGCAGGGTTAAGTGCATCTGTTGATTGGTTTTAAATGATGATGAGTCTTTGTCCAGGAAACCTGCATCGATACAGATACACAAGCTAAAGTCCACAAAGAGCATCTTCTGAAGCCATACAGAAAGAAAGACTACATGACTTTGTCCAACAGACAGACTTCCTGTAGTTTTCAGAAGTTCTGTTTTTCACGGAAACACTTACGTAAATTTGAGTCTCTTTGAGTGTCCAGGCATCACAGGCACATATAGCATCTTCACACCATGTACGACCATAGTGGGCTCCATTCCATACTTTTCCTGAAATGAAACATCAAAATCCTTGAAAAACACAACGCAGCAGTAAGAGACTTCAGGGGAAATACGATGATGTGGTAACTGCATCTGAAGTACTAATAATAAACAAGTAGGATTAGTTAACAAGTGAATGGTGTCTCACCCTGACTGCATTCATGAACTCAGAGAGAGTGAAGTCCTCATGGCCAAAGATGGTCCAACAGTCCCAAATGGAGAAGTAAATGTTGTCCCTGGGAGAGAAGGCATGCAGCTGTCATTACACTATAACTTATAATGATGACATTTGGGGCAATTTAGCTGAGATTTCAATGAATAATAGTCGTGTGGGGAGAAAGACATCTTCAGTGTATGGTCAAAACACACATGCCATCATGCTAGGACAAAACGTTTAAGGATTTATCACTTTTAAGCAGTTTGGGACAGTGAGAGACTTTACCTGATGAGTGTCTGTTTCAGTGGGGCAGGCTCAGTGAGCACCATCACAGGGATAGCCAGGTTAAAGAAACAGTTTTTGAAGGACTCAAAATCATAGCCTCCAACCACCTTGATCAACTCGAGGGCCACCTGAATAAATCAAAAATAATAAAAAGGCAAATATATTGATATAATATTGAAAAATGTATTTGGTTTCAACAATGAAACCACACTCATCAGCATTTATTTACTGTCTATCCATCCATCTCCAACAGGCACAAGGTAGTCAGGACATATATACATATTATATATGTATATCCATATGTAACCTATATATCCTAGAAATAAGTGTCACATTTGTTTTGTTTTCTTATTTCACAAATTACATTTTTTTTTATATAAGTGTTTTAAAACAATGACAGCAACTTAAACCATCACTATGGCAACATTTAAAACATCTCACCAGTCCAGCCACAGCAGCTGTTGCTGTGGCGATAGCAGGGATGATCTTGCCAGCGATGCGTTTGGTCTTGAGTCTGTCCGCGGGCTCGATGGCGTACATCCTGGCTCTCAGAGCAGATGCTGAGGTGACAAAGTCCACATGGCCGTTGCGGTCATCGTCCTTTTCAAACAGCAGTGGACTCACCTGTAGCCTCTCTGGAAGCACAGACAGTATCAGCTGTTAGAGGTGGGGTTACAGCGATTGTAATATAGGCATGCAAACGTAAAGGTCACCTATAATGCAAAATCCACTTTTTCATGGCTTTTATACATAAGCATGAAAAAACCCTCTCTTTTTGTCCTGATCCATTTACAAAAAATCCTGTCTGAAAAAGAGCTGATCAGATTTTGGCCATTTTATGATGTCATAACGTTTTTTTGGCTTGTGTAACCGTTAGCCAACAACCAACCAAGGTAACACCCCCCCACCTTATCACCTGAATCTCCTCCTAGAGCACCATTGTGTGTTTTTTAACCAAATACCTCACAGAGTATAATAGGGGACCTTTAATAGAATTGGAAAATAGAGAGCCTGGCTCCTAACTATTCACAACGATGTATAGGATATTACTTAATACCACTCCAAGATACACATTAAAAATGTATCTCAACATCAGTGTCCATTGACAAATATTGGTATTTATTTAATTGTGAACCTGCTGTGACGTTGTCCGTAGCGATGGCCTGCTCCAGCTGTGCGATGGCCTCCCTCTCCTCCTCACTGCTTAGAGGCATCTTCATGGAATCAGGCTTCTTCGCCGACTCATCCGTCTCTATGCACTGGAAGGGACAGAAAACAAAAACACTAGATTAGGATATTTTATGCTCAGACAGAATCAAAAAAACGTATAAATGGAGAAGCGTACTTTCTGTGAAGGCATGTACTCGGGAATCTTTACTCCTGAGAGAATCCTGGTCACCGCCTCTTCAGAGATATCCTAAAAAAATAATGAAAAGTTTAGTCAGTGTGTGTGTGTGTTTGAGTGAGTAAATGTGTGAGTGTATGCGACCTACCACTTCTGAGTAAGGGATGTTATAAATCCCTGCGAAGAGCCGGGCAGTGCTGACAATGAAGGTGAAGTGCCTAAGGGGGACGGGGGAGGTTTGGGAAAGCTTAGATAGGAAACATCCAATAAAGGAACGGCTTAACCTGTAACATTAGAGCATACTCACAAAGAGTCTTTCAAGTCAAAATCAAAAGGTGCTGGAGGTCTTTTTGGAGACTGCCAAAACAGACCTAGGATAAAAAAAATTGTACTATTTTGATGCAGATAAAATTATTTTGGTAAATTGAATAATACACAATTGTTTGAGAAAACGTACTTCCATCTTTTAACCTCGTGTCCAGCGGGAAAGAGTGCAACAGTTGTAGGGCCTGCATGAGAACAAAATGAGTAGCATGTAATCACATGCAGATGATATTGTGTAGCTTCCAACATATATACATAAAGCAAATCAAATGAATTTTAAGGAGGATACTCGTTACCTTTCTCTTGAAATACTTTTCAAACTTCAGTCGGGCATTAACGACGCACTGGTCCCACTGGCTGGGCCGTTTGCTCAGCAGTTTAACGACCTGGAAGGCCCCCTCCAGACTTTCTCCCACCTGCATCTTCTACACAAATAAACACACAAACACAATCTTTTCAAACCAACTATTACATCGCAAGATCAACACTAATGTTTCTTATAATAAGTCGGAGAAACACTGATGACATAACAGTCTTACCTGTAGCACCGCGTCAGCCGAGGAGTGGGTCTGCCAAAATGAGTTGTACATGGAGGGCTTGTGGACAAACAAGTTCTCAAACTAGACAAGAGCAAGGGAGACATTTTAAAAATTAGGACAGCACAGTTATAAAAATGATAATCAGCACTTGTTGGGTTTTAAGCAGACTGACCTTGTCTCTGGCCCACTGAATAGTGTGCTCTATGACAGAAGGGAAAGACTTGAGAGTGCAGAATGGGATCTCCTCTTCTGGGGGGTCCCTCTGGGGAGCAAAGGAAAACATACATTTAGGAACATTGTAAAGACTTCACCCACATTTATAGGTTTTCATTTTTATAACTCAAAACATATTTTGCTACGTTTACTCTGAGCATCCACACTACTCTGATAT